GAAAAAGAGCAAATAATAGTATGCTTTGATCTGCATTCAAACTCCATAGTTCTTTCTCTGGATGTGGATAGCATTTTTGAGACTTTGGGAGATTAGCATTCATTCTTACAAGATTTTTGAGTTCCAAATTTTTCTCCCTCCCTCCCCTCCCCCTTTCTGAAAATGGTAGGCAATTTGATACAGTTTATACATATTGAAGTAGTGCAGTGAAACTCAGAATTGTATATAAGGATCCTTACCAGCTCCATCCTAACTTAGAAAGCCACATACATTTCCCAATTACTTTTTGATCTGCTTCTAGGGCAGCTCACTCATATTTGATATCTCTGTTCTGGAGCACTAGGGCTGTGGTGGACAGGGAAGGAAGGCATTTTTGCTGAGCTAGGACCTGAGCTGGATCTTGAAGGACAGAATGAGTGGAGGGGTAGGAAGGCCTTGAAGGTTGAGGTTGAGAATGTGGAGGAGGTAGCCTTAGCTGAGACTTAAACTTTACTTTCAGGGAGAGTTTGTTCCCTCTTCTATTTTGTCTTGTTCCACATGTTCCTTCTTTGTGAAACTGTCCCTCACTACTCCAGCTCCTCCTGTTCCCTTCTTTATCTCCTTTTCTGTTCTCTGGCCTCAGTCCTCACATCTGTGAAATAGGAATCATAACATTTACTCATGGCTGTTGTGAGGATCTATGAAGTAATATTATATATTAGAGTGCTTTGCCAGCCTTCCAGTACCATACATTTGAGAGGGGTATCTCAAAATGGCTCTCTGGCCATTTTCTCAGACTCTCTTAGCTCTGACATTATAAGATTCTACCTGTCAAGTAATTTGTGAGTAAGCCTTATCTCTTGCTCCCTCATGGCACTGAGGGCAAGGCTGGCCTTTGCAAAGGAGCTGGTTTATTGAGCTTTAAAATTTTAGAGTTGGAAAATGACCAACCCACTCATTTTCCCAATGAGAGCCCAATTTTGGCCCAGAGAAACGAAGTGACTTGTCGGAAGTCACCTAGATAAAAGGAGACAGAGGTGGGATTCAAACCCAGGTCCTCTGACTCTGAATCTCCTGCGCTTTTTACTCTACCACATTTCTGTACCCAGAGAGATGATTTCAAAGCCTCGACTCTAAAAATCTCTGATTCTTCTGAACCTTAGAGTTTTCATGAGGAAACTGAAGCCTAGAGAATAGGCAAAGCTGGGATTTGTTCCCTTTTTCCCTGACTCTAGTGCTCTTCCCATTACACCTCAGCTTTAAGTTGAGGGAAGTGACAGAGAGCTGGATTCCTCAGATGACCTCTCTCTCCCTTTTCACTCTACCCCACTCTTACTAAGTTGATAGGTTCCAGAGCTGGTGTGGGGAAGGGAGGGATAATCAGCTTTTTCCCTCCCTCCCACCCACCCTTGGGCCAGGCACCTAACTCATTCTCCTCTTCTTTCTCCTATCTCTCACCCTCAGTTCCCAGATATGGAGCATGGAGAATGGTATGGCTATCTGAACCGTGAGGGCAAGGTGGCTCTCAGCTTCAAGGGGGGACCCTTTAAAGGTGAGTGGAGAGGAGAAGGGGGGGATCGGGGTGCCAGAGGCAGGGCGGGCTGGGATGCCCCACATTTCCCTGCCCTGGGCTTTCCACGCAGGTTGCTTCCACGTGCCCAGGTGCCTCTATATGTGCGAGGAGCTACTCAAGGCCCTCCTGTTGGCCTCCTAGAGACCAGCGCCCGAGCATAGCGAAGAGCAGAGCCCTGGCCGAAACCGCACCCAGAGGACTCTGCCCGGGGGAACCCGAGGGGCCTCGGCTCCTCCTCTCAGTCCCCCCTTGAAACGCTTTAATAAAGTTTGACCAGCATCTCCAGGAGACTCCGCGTGTCTGTGGGGGGCGGGGCCCATCTGCGCACTGTGGCCGGGGAGGGGGGAGAAGGCGGGGCCTGAGGGGCCAGCAGGGAGCTAGCCAGGTGGCGGTGGGGGCGGGGGCGGTGGCGCCGGCCCGCCCAGCCCACCGGGCTTCCAACCACTCGGCCTCTGTAACCGCTCCTGCCCCGGAGCAGCCCAATGGTTCGGGGGGGATGGGGGTGGAGGGGTGGGGAAGTCGGAGTCTGGGGGAAGGATGAAGCGTTCAGCGTCGGGCTGCTGATTGGATAACACTTCCGCTGCGGGGCGGGAATCCACCGCGCTGCAGGCGATTGGGCGATGCTGCGAGAGGCGGAGACTGATTGGCTGAGGCCCGCCCCTTCCGTAAGTGCCTAGCAGCGGCCTGGATCCGTCGGCGGCGGCGGCGGCGGCTCGGAGCGCTCTAGTTGCCTCTCCTCACCAAACCTCAGCCCGGTTAGGTCCGCTTGAGTGTAAGCGCCATGAACATCCGCAACGCACGGGTAAGGGAGGGACGGGAATCAGGAGCCGAGGGGAAAGCAAGGAGGAAAAGGGCTCGGGCCGCGTGGATGTGGAGGGGCTGGCAGCTTGTGAGCGTGCGCATGCGTCAGTAAAGTGTCTTGAGGCGGGACTACTTCATTGGGGTGGAGCCATGGAGGGAAGGAGCCTGCCCTCGGAGGGCCGAGCTTTCAGGTGGGTGTGGACCCTGGAAGGAGTGACCTTCCTCCAGTCACAGGCCTTGGGCCTTAAGACCCTCTACTTTTTGGAGGGAAGAGAGGCATTTCATGTTTCTTCTCTTGTCCTCATTCCTATAAGTTTTATCTGCACCTGCACCCATAACACCCCACTCCCAACCCCATCGAACAATCTCTGCCCCCATGCTGGGGCTGGTGGGCCCTTGGCCTCCCCTAAGTATGTTTTTGGGGCTGTTAGGTGACAAAGTGGATACAGGGCCAAGCCTGGAGTCAGGCAGACTTCATCCTCCTGAGTTCAAATCTGGCCTCAGACACTTACTAGCTGTGTGACCCAGGGCAAGTCACTCCACCCTGTTTGCCTCAGTTCCTCAACTGTAAAATGAGCTGAAGAAGGAAATAGCAAACCACTCCTGTGTCTTTGCCAAGAAAACCCTAAACGGGGTCACAGAGAGTGGAATACAACTGAAAAATGACCGAACAACAGCAAAGTGTTTTTGGTGAGATCCCCAGGGACCAAAGTCCAGGAGTTGACACTTGATCTCTTTTCCCACCCCACAGCCAGAAGACCTGATGAATATGCAGCACTGTAACCTGCTGTGCCTTCCAGAAAACTATCAGATGAAATACTATTTCTACCACGGTCTGTCATGGCCTCAGGTGTGTGTTTGGGAGGGAATAGGGGAGGAGATGGGACTTTAGTGCTGAGTAGATTGGGATCCAGTGGGAAGGAGAGATCACATGTTTCAGGGATGGTAGAAAGAGCCTTGAATTGGAGACCTGGGTTAAAGCACTGCCTCTTCTATGGTCAATCTGTGTGTCCCTGGGCTAGTCACTTTCCTTCTCTGGAAGGGAAGTTTTCTTATCTGTAAAATAAGAATTCAATGGACTGGAGCAGGGAGGGGGGAACCTGCAGCCCCAAGGCCACATGTGGCCCTCTCGGTCCTCAAGTGTGGCTCTTTGACTGAATCCAAGCTTCACAGAACAAATCCCCTTAATAAAAGGCTTTGTTCTGTAAAACTTGGACTCACTCAAAAGGCCCCACCTGAGGACCTAGAAGGCCACATGTGGCTTCAAGGCTGTAGATTCCCCACCCCTGGGCTAGATGACCCTTTCAGGTCTGACATTCTATGATTCTCTGTATGGACAGGAATGTAGGGTTTGGGGTGAGATTTATTCTTTTATTTATTCTTTTTTCCATTCTCTTCCCTTCTCCACCTCCCCACTCCCCTGTAGCTCTCTTACATTGCTGAAGATGAGAATGGAAAGATTGTGGGCTATGTGCTGGCCAAGATGTGAGTTTTCTTCTTCATCCCTAATCCCCCCTTTCCCTCTATGGTTAAAGTCTCAGGCCCAGCTCCCATCACCCCTAGTCCCTGGTACTGACCCTTATACTTGTCCCCATGGTTCTCTAAGCCAGGCACTGAAGGTTCCTGACTGTTCTATGTACCTGTCAGCCCTAAGCCTCCATGTAGGACTTGTTCTCATAACAGTTGTTCGCTCCTGCTGATCAGGGTTCCCTGCTGCTATGGGAGTTCTCCAGAGGTACTCCCCTCTTAATACCCCTTGTATTTTGTTTGTTTGGCTGAACCTTATGCTCTGCTCTAAGTCTTCCCTTTAGCTCTCCTCTCTGGTGTCCTTCTTCAGAGTCTTCTCTACTAATTAAGCATTCAGCACGAATTAATGAGCACCCACTGTATGTTGGAAAGGGCTTTAATGGTAGTACCATGGAGGAAAGAGAAAAGATCAGGATCCAGCTCATATTTGTAAAAAGTACTCAGCACCGTGCCTAGCAATCTAGAAATGCTTGTTCCCCTTCCCCTCCTTTACCCCTTTGGGAACTGCCAGTTTACTTTCAGGGACAGGTATCAAACATGCAAACCAATCAACACACCTATGAGTGCTAGACTTCAGATCAAAACAGCAGATGTCCCCAGAGTTTTGGGCCTTAAGGTCGGACAAAATATGGATGCATGTTTTAGAGAAGAGGAGAGAGCATTCCAAAGAGAAGGTATCAAAGCAGGAATGAATGTGCAGAGGACTGTGCTAAAAATGTACACATATACACATATGTGTATAGATACATATATACACACATACATAGATGTGTGTGTGTGTTTCATAATTCCCATGAGGGAAATAATGAGTATTTACCAAGTTTACTGTATGCCAAGCATTGTGCTAAGGGTATTTCCCTTTATGTAATTATTTTCTCCCATCAGCCTATAAGGTCCCTGAGGGTAAGGACAGCTAGTTCACACAGCATGGGGCCTGTCTGGCACATACTGTTTTATCTAGCTTGGAGTTAGAATACAAATATGAATGAAACAATTTCTGCTTCCAAGGAGCTTACATTCTAATGTGGTGGTGACAAGTACGTATATACATGTGTATAGAGCTAGTGAAAAGGAATGTGTAAACGTACATACAAAGTGGAAAAACCCTTGGTAGGGGTAAGAATGAGCATCCCAGTAGTTGGGGGGATCAGGAGAAGCTTCCAGTAGACAAGGAGCTCTTAACTTTTTTGATGTGCATGACTCCTTGGGTAGACTGGTGAAGCCCAGGGATTCCTTCTCAGAATCATGTTTTTCAATGTCTAAATTAAAGTACATAGGGTTTCCAAAGAAACCAAGCATATTGAAATTCACTTATGAAAATATTGAACAAGTAAGATCCTGGACCCCTGGGAGGGTAGAGGAAAGAGGCAAGGACCTAGGACAGAGTCTTGTAGAACACCCACAGTTGGGTAGTCTGGTGGGGGGGGAATGGGGGGGAGGGAAGCTGGCCAAGGACACTGAGGCAGAAACAATGGGGGAGAACCAGGAGAGAGCAGTATCATGAAAATCTAGAAAGGAGAAGATACCCAACAGAAGGTGAGAGATCACCAGTGTCAAATGCAGCAAAGAGGGCAAGAATTAGGACTTTTGAAAGGGCCATCAGCTTGTGCAGTGAAGAGAGGGTGGCTTCACTTAACATCCCACATCTGTGTTCTTCTGAGCCAGTCATGTGTTTCTGTACTCACAAGCACATTTCTAACTATGCCTCATCTTCCATTTCTTCCTTTATGGCCCTAGGGAGGAAGATCCAGATGATGTCCCCCATGGACATATCACATCCTTGGTATGTAGACCCCTTTCTTTCAGTACCTCAGGCCTAGGACTGGAATTTCTGCCTCAGGGGTAAACGGGAGTATGGACTCAGCTGATAGGTCCTGTTCTTTTCCCCTCACAACCCCTCAATTGTGATTACTCTCTTTCAAACTCTTAGGCTGTAAAGCGGTCCCACCGCCGACTAGGTCTAGCACAGAAGCTTATGGACCAGGCCTCAAGGGCCATGATTGAAAACTTCAATGCAAAATATGTCTCCCTGCATGTCAGAAAAAGGTGAGAGCCAGGAGCAGAGGATGGAGTGAAGAAGAACAAATGTAGTCTCTGATTCAAAGGGGGAGTGTTAAGTCAGGAGGAAGATAGAAGGCTCAGTGAACAGGGCCCAGTGTAAGCAGTGAGGCCTGGGTGTCATCCTGGGAGGCAGGAATGTGTCAGTACTGTCAGATTGGTCTGCGTAGGGGAGGGGGGGGCAGGGGGAGGTTTTGAAGTGGGAGGCAAAGGTCTTGGTTTGCGGTGAGGAGTGGAGAGGTGGCTGTGTTGGGAGGTGGGGTTGGGGGGTGGGGGGAGGGCGCAGTGTTGACTTTCTTCCCTTCTAAATTCTGCTCTTTGTTGTCTTACAGTAACCGGGCAGCTCTGCATCTGTATTCCAACACACTTAACTTTCAGTAAGTCATCCCAGGCCCTCCTGAGGGAGATGGGAAGGCCTGGGCCAGCACTAGGCAAGGTGGGGCATAAGTGAGGGGGAGACCAGGAAAAGACTCCTAATCCTCTGACCTTCCATATGGCTGGAGTAAAAAAAAACCAACAACAACAAGAACAACAAAAAACTGCTTGGAGCCCATTTGGCTGCAGTACAAATGTTGCTGGCCAGCGCAGACGTACTCCCATTCCCACAAAGAGATTGGAGGGGGGATCGTACAGAGAGATCACGAAGAGCTGGGAAACCTGGGTTCTCACTCCACCTGGGCCACTTTAGTTCAGTGACCTTTGGACAAATCCTTCCCTGCCTCTGGGCTTCGTTCTCCTCATCTGTACCATGAGATAGTTGGAGTCAGTGACTTCTGAGCTCACTTCTCATGCTTATGTTCAGCATGATGAAACCAAGAGACCATTGGTTTTTGGAGTCAGGAGAACTTGAGTTAAATGCCTGCCTCGGACACTTACTTGCTTTGTACCCCTGGACAAGTGTCTGAGCCTCAGTTTCCTCATCTGTAAAGTGGGGCTGCCTGCCTCACCAGGCTGCTGTGAAGAGAGTTTGGAATCCTTCAAGTGCCGTAGAAATGTGAATGATGTGGATGGTGAATGACGATCCAGCTTTGGTATGTGTGGGGTCTTTGGTATGTGGAAATGTGTTGTGGGGAGCTTTCTCAGGGCAGGGTGACAGCTGCGTTGTGCTCCTCGTGTTTCTTTGTAACTCCCTGCAAGAGTGATCTTAGTGATGCTTGCTGGGCAGAGGGATGACCTCTAAACTGCTCCAAATAGACTGATGCCTGTTGGGTGGTGGTGGTGGTGAACTGGAAAGGCAGAGCCAGGTGGGGGAAGCCTGGCGGGAGGGTCTTAGGGCAAAGCTTGAGGAGAAACCGAAAGCCGGGAGTCCCAGGAATATGGTACTCCGGCCACTGCTTCCTGGACGGCTCTGATTACCAGGGAGGTCTTTATGATTGAGCTAGAATTGATCTTCCTCTACTGTCTTCTCTGGTGCTCTTAGATCTGCCCTTTGAGAAGAAGCCAGTCTACATGACTGCCCCCCAGGCACTTGGATGTGGCTACCATTTTCCATCCTCCCTCCCTCCCTCCCCCCAGGCTTCTTTTCTGTAGCTAAATTTAGGGGCTAGCTGCTAAGTTCACAGTCAGCAGCCCCCTTGTCATCCTAATGGAGATCCACCTTGACTACATTGTTCCTAAAGTTCAGCCCCTAGACCAGATATATTCCAGGTGTGATCAGATCATAGGTCAGGACTAGGGAACCTGTGCTGAGCTAAGTAAGGGAGGAAGGGGAGGGGAAGAGAATAAGTATTTTTATAGCACATACTATGTACCAGGCACTGTGCTTAGCACACATTTCATCTTCACAATAGCCCTGGGAATAGGCGCTTGTTATCCCCTTTTACAGATGAGGAAACTGAGGCAGAGGTTAAGTGACTTGCCCTGGCTCCTGCAGCTAGTAAGTGTCCAAGGTGGAAATTGAACCCAGGGGTTCCTGACTCCAGACTCAGTGCTCAGTACATGGTGGCACCACCCAGCTGCCTAAGGGGGAGTGGGAGGGAGGGGTTTTCTGTTGGTGGTTTGAGAAATGTGAGCTGTGCTTAGCTCTCTAAGCTATTCCTTGGAGACCCTTCAGCACCCATGACTGTAATTTGTCTTCATCTGAAGTTGAGAACCACTGTCTTCTGGGAACTTACAGTCTTCTGCACCTCTCCCCCCAACTTTCCCTTTGATTTTCTCTCCTTGGCAATTGCAAAATATACTTGTGCCTGGATCCAAAATCATGTTGTTGGGCTCTGTTCTCACATGGCGAGAGAGAGAGAGAAGGGAGACCAGGGAGAATTCCTCCCGCCATGCTCCCTTTCTCCCCTTCCCTATTCTCTTTTCAAGGATTAGTGAGGTGGAGCCCAAATATTATGCTGATGGAGAAGACGCCTATGCTATGAAGCGGGATCTGACTCAGATGGCTGAAGAGGTAAGCTACCCTGAGGTTGGTAGAGGGCAGTCTTAGGGCTTTGCTGCAACCCTAGCCGGGGGTTAGGGGGAGGAGACCCCAGATTTTATTTTTGTTTTTGTTTTTTAAGGCAGTTGGGGTTAAGTGACTTGCCTAGGGTCACACAGCTAGTAAGTGTCAAGTGTTTGGTCTGAGGCTGGAGTTGAACTCGGGTCCTCCTGACTTCAGGGCCGGTGGTCTATCCACTATACCACCTAGCTGCCCCCCCCCCCAGCAAAGATTTTAAAGACTCCTTGGGGTCCACACAGTGGGATAGAGTGTTTTAAGATTTGGGAGACTTGGGGCCTAGACCTGGCTCTGTTATTACTTATTAGCTATGTGATCTTGGTAAGGAACCTTGCTCCTGTGGGCCGTAATGTGTGTGAAATGATTGGGTTTGGGTTTGGGCTAGATAAACTGAGGTCTCTTCCAGCTCTGACCCTTTATGACAAAAGAAACAGGTACAACTTGGCTCTCTGACAAAGTAAGGGACTTCCCTGAAGGGGAAGGAAATGGAGGAAGACAGGTACCGGGCTTGGTCCCTGGTCCAGCGTGGAGGCCCATGGTGGATGCCTGTGGCAAGAGCAATCCCTTCAAGCAGTTCTTAACTTGGGGTCTGTGGGCGGCTTTCAGGGGGTTGGCAGACTTGGACAGGGAGGGGAGGAAAATGACTGTCTTTATTTTCACTTACTTTTAACAGAAATGTAGCATTTCCTTCAATTTTTTAAAACTTGTGATTGACAGAAGTGTTCCATTAAGTTTTCTCAGACTGCCAAAAAAAGATTTGGAACCCCTGCCCTAAAGGATGGTTAGCACAAGTCTGAGGGTAAAGCACGTATATATGTCCAGCTCGAGTACACTGGCAGGTGGGACTGTCCCTGGAGGGGGTTGGGCCTGGACCTGAGATAGGGCCTGTAAGAAAGGCCTTTACTTAGATGGATAGTTTGTGCAAGTTTACAAATTGCTTTTACCTCCTTTATCTTCATTTACTCCTTGGGACAGGTCTGTGAGGGAGGCAGGCAGGGCAGGCATTATTGTCCCCATTTTACAGATGAGGAAACTGAGGCCCAGAGAGGTGAAAGGACGTGCCTAAGGTCACAGCGGCAGAGCCAGGACTAGAACCCAGGTCTCCTGACTCCCTCCTGGTCCGGTGCTCTTTCCACTATGCCACATTGCCTCTTCCTAGAGACACAGAATAGTCTCTCTGTTTCCTCCTGATTCTCTGTTTCCCCCTTTTCCCCCCCTCTTCTGTCCTCTCACTGTCCATCTGTTCCTCCACCTGTCCGTCTACTTGCTCGTCCTTTCACCCCCATGGTAGCTGAGGAAGCAACTGGAGGTGAAGGAGAAAGGCAAACATCTGGTGCTGGCCTCCCTGGAGAACAAGATGGATCCCAAAGCCAACCATGTGGGTGACTGCTGCCGTGAGGAGAAGGGCCTAGGCCCCACAGCCGAGGACAGCAGCGGCGGTGACAGCAAAGACCTTAGCGAGGTCAGCGAGACCACGGAGAGCACTGATGTCAAGGACAGCTCAGAGGCCTCTGACTCAGCTTCCTAGAGTCCCCAGGCTGGGATTCTGCTGTCATAAGCAACCCCCATCTCTGTATCTCTCTTCTCCTTGTTCCCCATCAGTTCTTCCAATTAAATAATTTGGGGCCTTGGGGGCTGTGGATTTCTGTGAGCCAGTGCTACTTTGCCTTTGTTAGGGGATGGGGCGGGGAGGGAGAGAGAGAGAGTGTGCGTGCGTGCGTGCGTGCGTGCATGCGTGCGTGCGTGTGTGTGTGTGTGTGTGTGTTGTGGGGGGGGAGTGAATTTGGAGGTCCTGCACTTGTGTTTACAAGAAACAGCTTCAGAATACAAGACAGAGGAGGGCTTTAGATGACCAGCTCAGTGAGTCAGCCGTGATGTGGCAGTCCCCAAATTCAGTGCTCTTTTAGTCTGCATTTGAGAGGCCTGGGATTTGAAATGAGGGAGGAGATAGTTCGGCTCTTCCTTGGCTGGAGGCAAACATAGCTAGAGCACAGTGGGCCGTGCCAAGCACTTCATTTTAGAAAGGGCATTGACAGATGAAGAGACGGTGTGATGCAGTGGTTAGAGAGCTGGCCAGGCATCCCCAGGTTCAAATTTTGCCTCTTGACATACTGGTTTTGTAAGCCTGGGGAAATCAGTAAGCCTGCAACTTCTCAGTGCCCTTGCTAATTCACTGAGACTGTAAGTTAAAGTGAAGGTGCCAACCTGCATTGGCAGAGAGAGCTTCCTCACCCAGGGCTTCTGAAATCAAAAGCCCTGTCACTAAGTTCTCTCTCCAGTTGTCCCCTATGCCTGGAACACTCTCCCTCCTCCCCTTGAACTACCAACCTTTCCAACTTTAACGTTCAATGGACATTTATTAAGTGCCTACTGTGTGCCAGACACTGTCCTAAGTACTAGGGTTATAAAGAGGCAAAAGGTAGGCCCTGCCCTCAAGGAACTTAACATCTGAAGGGGAATATATATATGAAGGGACAAACCAACGTGTACAAACAAGTCCTATACCGGATAAATGGGAAATAAAGACCAGAGGGAAGGCTTACCGTAGGGGCTAGTGTTTTAGTTGGCACTTAAAGTTGGGGAGGTTGGTAGTTCAAGGGGAGGAGGGAGAGTGTTCCAGGCATAGGGGATGACCGGAGAACTGGAGCTGAGAGACGGTCTTATCAGAATAGCCAGGATGCCGGAGTCATTGAGCCAGAGTACGTGTTGGGGAGCAAGGGTAAGAAACCTGGAGGGGACTGGGTGATGAAGGGTTTTGAATGCCAAACAGCACTTTGTACTTGATCCGGGAGGCGATGGGAAGCCTCTGGAGTTTATGGGGGGGGGTTGGGGGTGGGGAGGTGTGTGACATGATTGGACTTAACGCTTTAGGAAAAATCATCTAGTGGCTGAATGGAGGACAGATGGAAGTGGGGAAAGACTTGAGGCAGGCAGACCCACCGGCAGGTTATTGCAGTAATCCAGAAGTTGAGGGCTTGCACCAGGGTAGGGGCCCATTGGAGAGATGTTGCAAAGGTGAAATCAGCAGCCATGGCAACAGATGGATAAGGGGGAGGGGGGTGAGGAGATGAGGTGAGGATGACTCCTAGGTTGTGAGTCTGAGGGACTTGGAGAGGATGGTGCTACTCTCTGCAGAAATAGGGTAAGTAGTAGAATTTATTGATTTATTGAAGGAACTAGAGCTGTGGTTAATTTGGTGAAGGGAAAATGTAGGGGCCCGTGAAAGCTGACAAAAGTATCTGAAGGGCTGGCATGTGGATTTAGAATTAGGAATAATCAGTTGTTGAGAGGCGGATCTTGGCTCAACATAAACAAATTTTCCTAAGCTCTTCCTGAGCTCTGAGGCCCCTAAATCTATGACTGTAAGAGCTGGCCCAAAGTGGAATATTTTGCCTCTGGAGGGCGTGAATAGGAGGCTGAGTGACCACCTGTTCTTGGTCTTGTATAGGAGATTTCTGTTCATACATGGACTACATGGCCTCTGATAAATCTGTGACTCAGGTGGGCAGCTGATGTGACGTTCCAAATTTGCTATCAAGCTGGGATCCTTGCCAGGTGACCGATGAGAATGGATGCCCCAGTCTGGCCTGGTTTGGAGACTACCTCTCTCCCAGGAACCTGTTACCCAAGTGTCCTGTTTCTCTGCCCTGACTTACTTGGAGGAAGCCACAGTCCTCGACAAAGACTGGGGCTGGATAAATAGATCTGAGAATCATCTGTGTAGAGATGATCATTGAATTCATGGAAACAAATGAAATCATCCATAGTGGAGGTGCTCTCTGCTCAGAGATAACTGAATCCAGGAAAGCTGACGAGACCACTGAACTTGGACCACCATCCTTCCAGATCCTGTAGATTCACAACCTCAAAGTTACACTTGATTTCTCAACCTCGTACCACATAGCCATTCAGCTGTCAACCTGCCCTGCATCTCTGTAACTAGCACCCTCCTCTCTATACTCACATGCCTATTACCCTATTTCACAAGGCTGGATTATCGCAGCAGCCTCCTATCTGGACTCCCTTGGTTTCATTTTATTCCCCTTCTCTTCCACACGTCTTCATTTTTGTTCAGTCATTTTCAGTTGTCTGTGACCCCATTTGGGTTTTTTTTGGGGGGGGGCAAGGATACTGGAGTGGTTTGCCATTTCCTTCTCCAGCTCACTTTACAGATGAGGAAACTGAGGCAAACAGGGTGAAGTGACTTGCCCAGGGTCACACAATTAGTGTCTGAAGCTGGATTTGAACTTCGGTCTTCCTGACTCCGAGGCTGGTCTTCTATACACTGCCCCATACATCTTCACCATCATTGCCCGAATAAGAATAATCTTAAGCCACAGGTCTGATTGTGTCAGTTCTGTGCTCAAAAAGCTTCACTTGATGGGGCAGCTAGGTGGCGCAGTGGATAGAGCACCGGCTCTGGAGTCAGGGTGGACCTGTGTTCAAATCCTGGCCTCGGACACATGACACTCACTAGCTGTGTGACCCTGGGCAAGTCACTTAACCCCATTGCCTAGCAAAAACCAAAAAAAAAAAAAAAAGCTTCACTTGACTCTTTTGCCTCCAAGATAAAATATAAGCTCTTCAGCTGGCCTTCAAAGTCCTCCACAATCTGCCTCCAGCCTCCCATTCTAGGCTTGCTGCACACTCCTCTATTTCTAAAGCTGTCCCAAAGTGTGCAAGTGGAGAGTTCTTCCTCTTGGGACGGGGCTTTTTTTTTTTTTTTTTTTTTTTTTGCGGGAGGAGTGGGGGCACTAGTTGGACTAACTGGCTCCTAAGGTCTGTTTCAGCCCAGATTCTCTGATATTGAACAATCCCCCTTCAAGGCTCATTTTAGGTGTTCTATCTCTATAGTTCTGTCTCCTCTCTTTCTTCTAATTATCTTATGTGTATCTACGTTCATTATCTTTTCCGTAGAACGTAAGCTCTAGGAGGGCCGGGACGGTTTCTTTTTTGTCTCTGTCTCCAGCACTCATCACAATGCTTGGAGTGGGGAAGATTAGTAAATGCTTGCTGAATTCAATTGACTTGGCTGGTATGTCCATTCTAGGGGACACTGTGTCCCCACCCAAAGCAAGTTCCTGTTGCTCTTTTGAAATGCATTCCTTCTTGGGAAGACTAAGGGGTCTGATGGAATGATAACTTTTCCAGGAGGAAAATGGCCCAGGAGGCTTCTGGTCCTGGCTCGGGACGCCCTTGGCCAGTCCCTTTCCTCTCTGGGGCTCAGTCTCCTAATCAATCAGAGTATTGGACTTGACCGTCTCAACACCTAAAGGATGGAAACCATAGCACGGGAATCGGCCTCCAATGGGCTTCTGTTCGGGGCCTCCCAGGGTCCGGGGTGATTGACGGACCATCAGGATGATCGACGGACCATCGGGGTGATTGACTGGCCTTAGCTTCAGCCGGAAAGCCCGCCTCCCTCTGCTGTTTCCCCGCCCTTCCAGGCCACACCCGTCTCCGATTGGCTCAGGCCGGCCATTGTGCGGTTGAGCGGCGGGGCCGCGTGGGGGCCTCGGGGATTGGCTGAGCGCCCTGGGGCTGGAGTTGAGCCCCGGCCCCTGCTTCCCGCCCCTGCCCCCTGGCGTCCTGCGCCTGGACCCCAGGAGCCGTCGGGCAATCGAGGCATGGCTGGGGTGCAGCGGATCAGCCTCTCCGAGGCCTTGGACTTGGGGCCCAGTTGGCGCCACGCGTGCCACGCGCTGCTCTACGCGCCAGACCCGGGTCGCCTGTTCGGCTGCATCCCGCTGAGATACGCGGTGCTGGTGAGGGGGCGACGGACCGGGATCCCCGCGACCATCCCCACGGGGATCCTGGGGGCGCAGGGAGGAGGGGTGGCGGGCGGGGATCGCGGGGGGTCCCTGCTAACCCTGCACTCCTTCTTGGCAGATGCAGATGCGCTTTGACGGGCGGCTCGGCTTTCCGGGCGGCTTCGTGGATCCCCAGGACGGCAGTCTGGAGGCGGGCCTGAACCGGGAGCTGCTGGAGGAGCTGGGCGAGGGGGCGGCTGCCTTCAGCCTGGGCCCGGGAGACTACCGGAGCTCCCACGCCACGGCCTCCCCCCCGCCCCGCGTCGTGGCCCACTTCTACGTCAAGCAGCTGACGCTGGACCAGGTGCTGGCGCTGGAAGCAGGTGCCCACCGTGCCAAGGACCACGGGCTAGAGGTGAGCGAAGTGCGATCCCTTCCCTCGTGGGGTACCCCTCCCCTCCCTTCCCTCCCCCCTCTCCCCCTTCTCCCTGTCTTGGCCTATCGGGAACTCAGCCCCACGTCTTACAGCTGCCTGCTCCAGCTGAAAGACCCCTTTCCTCGGGTCACCCCGGGCTCAAGGACAGACTACCCTTCTGGCAACTCATCTTCATTTTTTCCATTCACCCCACCACCACCTTCATGGGTGCCTTTCCGGGCTCGAGGTAGAAGGCAGATCCCTTAACCCTAGCCCCTCCCCTCTGTCAAATTCCTAGCGTGCACAGTAGCCTCTCAGTTGCCTGTAGGAACCAGCTTTCTATTCTCACTCGTTTCTCCCTAGTCCTGGCTCTTATTCCATTTCCCCTGGCCTGCGGCTGTAGCCCTTCTAACCAGTCTTGTCACCTTCAATCCTTCCTCCCCTCCAGGCCATCCTGCATTTGGTGCCACAGTAAATCTAAGGATTGACTGCACACCCCTACTCAAAGGGCCTCCTCCCATTGCCTCCCAAAGAAAGTTCAGATGGCCTGGAATCCAGGGCCCTCTATGATCTCATTTCCAACCTGCCTTTTCAGCTGAACTCATTTCCCTCACCCCAGCCTGCATGCTCATTTGATATACATTCCCCCTTCTAATCATTCATAACCTCCCTGACACCTCTCAGCCCTGTCTGTCCTGCCGTCTCTGGCTACTCTGGATTTTCGGGGAAGGAACCTTACAGATTGGTCGTCTAGTCCAACCTTTACAAAAGCCAGAGAATAGTGACTTGTGCAACATCCCAAAGATATTAAGGGCAGAGCAGAGATTTGAACCCAGGCCCTCTGACCCTAAATTCATTGTTCCTTTGCAGTACAATATTGCCTGGTTCTTCAGGTAACTCTTGTCCATTCAGGGTCAGACAATACCTGTTATCTTTGCCTAGGAGTTGGATTTGCCATGCTGGAAGCTCTCCAGGTCAGGGAATGGGGTCTTTCCCGCTCCCTGGGGATTCCCCTAGTAGCCAGCACAGGTATCAGAGAAATGCTTTACTCCAAACAGAGGTTGAACCTGTCAGAAATAATTGTATACCGGGTGGTCTCAGATTCAGTGGGCATTTATTAAACATCATTGATGTCATGGGCATTGTGCTAGATCCTGAGGGCACATAGGCAAAAAAAAAAAAAAAAAAAAAAAGGGAG